ATAGACATGTAAAAAAATGTAAGCCTTTAGAATCACTTTAACCCAGCCTTTCTCAACCTCTTCAACATAGATGAGCCCTTTAAATAAAGTCTGGTCTCAGGGAACCTCTGCTAAATATTACTATATCTACAAGTCATGATACAATAGTGTGATGGTCAGTGCAAAGAATGCTCCTTACATTTGTGGTCATTGGGAAGAATCCCCCCTTTACAAATAGCTAAAAAGATCAATGGTGTCAGTGGGAACTCTTCTGAGAGCCAGAAATTGTTCATTGCTCAAGGAACCCCTAGCAACCTTTAGAGGAACCCTAAGGTTCCATTATAACCCTGGTTGAGAAACCCTGGTGTAACCCAATATACTAAATTACATTTAAAACTTGTAATCAAAATGTCCAAATGCCAGTTGTGATCTGCTCCCTTACTTATAATGCTAAGTAGAATTAATCTCTTCAAGATTATATTTTTTCAAAATCTAACCTACTTGTTGACCAAGCATGTCAAACTGGCATTTTTTGAGCCACATGTAGCCCACCAACTCCTTCTCTACAGCCCCTAGTGATTAAAGGAAAATGGAAACAAATGTACCCCTAGCTGTTCTGTTCTGCAGTTCATACTGTAGTTACTCTTTCTTACATAATTTTGCAGCTAAACTCCTTAGGAAATGTTTTATGGCCCTTTCAATAGGATTACATATTGTAATGATGTTAAATTCCAAAGTGCCATAATCTTTTTCTGGAGTTAAGTAGGTGCCACCCTCAATAGACATAATGCCATTGAAGAGTTAGACCTCTCAATTTTGTCCACTATCTTTATTTATCTGAATTTGAAAATCACTTACAGTATATGAATCCTTTTCAAATACACAAATGAAATCTCAGAACTACTAACTCAACTTGATTTAGCCCACCAAGTGTACAAGTGTAATAAACCAAAGCTACAAAAACAAAATATACATTACCTAGGAGCAGCTACCACTAAAAATAGTGCAATCATCACACACTCAAAATAAATATACTGAAGTGCTCCCCAAATATCAATTCCCAGCAAATTTTTACAACCAATGTGTAATGGCAGTATAAATATATCACCACATAAACTCATTCAATAAATAATCCAAAAAATTATCAAAATCGAATCTCCATAGTTTAACCACTTCACGTCTGGACACTTTCACCCCCTTGCAGTCCAGGCCAATTATCAGCTTTCAGTGCTATCACACATTGAATGACAATTGCGCGGTCATGCAACACTGTACCCATAATAATTTTTTTTTATTTTTTTGAGACAGATACAACTTTATTTTGGTGGTATGTAGTCACCAGTGGGATTTTTATTTGTTTGCTATATAAATGAAAAAGTCCAAATATTTTGAAAAAAAAAAAAAAGTGTTTTTCTTATAAAATTTTGCAAATAAATAATCTTTCTTCATAAATCTTGGCTAAAATGTATTCAGCTATCATTTTAGTAAAAAAAAAAAACCCAACTTAGTTTATAACCAAAAACTATAATTTTTCAAAAAAGTTTTTAACATTTTTATTTTTTTATATTATTATTTATGTTTTGTTTTGTTTTTTACATACTGTCACCCTAGTAGCACAATGTCACCATAGTGACACTGTACTACTTGTGGGGGTTGATGAAGATTTTTTTTTCTTTTTTTACACTGATAAAAATTGTAAAAGCAATAATTTCTCCTTCTCTCTGGCTGCATTCCTGCAGCCATTGAGAAATACTATGAGAGCTGTGATTGATCACAGCTTGTCACATGGTACAAGGCTGTTGTGAATAGCCTTGTACCATGTGATATCTGTGATCATTCACAGATTTCACAAGTAGTAAGTAATGATGTCAGGAAGTGACATTTTGTTTACTACTGTTCATGTGATCACTGATTGGCCAATCAGTGATCACATGAATTGGGACCTCACACAGAGGTCCCGTACAGCGATCTGTGTTCCGCTGTGACCTCCGGACACAGCAGGCACTGATCGTGCTCCCAGGGAGTGCACACAGGCAATGGATGCAGGGGGACGTTTAGAAATGTCCACCCGCATCGTCAGCGCTCCCATCCAACCTGGTTTCCAACTCAGAGTTCATCACTAATAAAGCCTTTCCATCAGGCTGGGACTTTGTGCATGTTGCTGGTGCAGTCTGCTAGGACTCAACAGCATACCACTCTGTAATGTGCTAGGTACATCTCAGGTTCCCCTGCACTCTTTCTCCAGTCCTCAATGACCCACTGATTTCCACCACAATACCTACTTGGCTGGCTTGACTGGCTGTCAGCCAGTGTGTATGGGCTCATCTCTCTTCCCATGCATGCTGTGGCTCTGTCCTACTGGACATAACAGGGGTGCTGTGTTATGTTAGGGGTGCTGTGTTAGGGACGCTGTGTTGTGTTAGGTGTGCTGTGTGTTTTAGGGGTGCTGTGTTGTGTTAAGGAACTCTATGTTGTATTAAGGGCACTGTGTTATGTTAGGGGAGCTGTGTTGTGTTAAAGGGCGCTGTGTTGTTAGGGGTGCTGTGTGTTTTAGGGGCACTGTGTTGTGTTAGGGGTTCTGTGTTGTCTTAGGAGGCGCTGTGTTGTGGTAGGGGTACTGTGTTATGTTAAGGGGCGCTGTGTTGTGTTAGGGACACTGTGTTGTGTTAGGGTTGCTGTGTTAAAGGGTGCTGTGTTGTGTTAGGAGTGCTGTGTTATGTTAAGGGGCACTGTGTTGTGTTAGGGACACTGTGTTGTGTTAGGGTTGCTGTGTTAAGGGGTGCTGTGTTGTGTTAAGGAGTGCTGTGTTATGTTAAGGGGCACTGTGTTGTGTTAGGGACACTGTGTGTTAGGGTTGCTGTGTTAAGGGGTGCTGTGTTGTGTTAAGGGTGCTGTGTTATGTTAAGGGGCACTGTGTTGTGTTAGGGGCGCTGTGTTCTGTTAGGGGTGCTGTGTTATGTTAAGGGGCGCGTGTGTTCTGTTAGGGGTGCTGTGTTGTGTTAAGGGGTGCTGTGTTGTGTTAAGGAGTGCTGTGTTATGTTAAGGGGCACTGTGTTGTGTTAGGGGCGCTGTGTTCTGTTATGGGTGCTGTGTTATGTTAAGGGGCGCTGTGTTATGTTAAGGGGCGTTGTGTTGTGTTAAGGGTGCTGTTTTATGTTAAGGGGCACTGTGTTGTGTTAGGGGCACTGTGTTGTGTTAGGGGTGCTGTGTTGTGTTAGGGGTGCTGTGTGTGTGTTAGGAGATGCTGTGTTTTGTTAAGGGGCACTGTGATGTAAATGGAGGCAGTGATTTGAAGGGGAATTTAAATCACTGACTTGATGGGGGCAGTGATTTGAAGAGGAGACTGTGGGACTTCTTTAAAGAGGGGACTGTGATGTAGAGGGGACTACAATGTGAAAGGTACGCTAAAGATCATAATGTACTGGGGGACTGTGATGTGTTATATTGCTAATGAGGAAATTTTGATGACTGGACCCCCGTAGATTTTAATTTAAGACCCTGGATTAGAGGAACTAAATGTATTCTCTCTTGAAAAGAGAGGAGATTAAGGGGGGATATGATCAACATGTATACATATATACACTCACCGACCACTAGGTACACCTGTTCAATTGCTTGGTAACACAAATTGCTAATTAGCCAATCACATAGCAGAAGCTCAATGCATTTAGGCAAGTATATGTAAATATTGGTGCCCTCAATCTCCCAGAACGGTAATACAGATGGATCCTTATTATGACATAGGGCAAAGTGCTTTGAAAATCTATGTTGTGTATATCCTTTTTGATGTTCTGCACATGTTTTTTTATTCTTTTTTCCATAGGGGTCTTTTAGTTCTGCCCACATAACATGGGCAATTAAGTACACAAACTGCCCCTTCTGTTCTGCAGGAGATGAAATACTTTATATTGTACTGTTTACCAGTCGATGCTGATGTAAATGAATCTCTTCTCTTAACATTGCCTTTTGTTTTAATGGATGCGTAACATCCTTTGCAGGGAAAGAACCCCTTCCCCTCAAAGAAAGATTTTTTTATGTACTGGTGGGTCAATCACATTTTTAATTATTTTTTAAATATATTCTTCAGATTTTTTTAACATATAAAAAAGTAATTTTAACATATATTTTTACAAATATTTGTAAATGCATTCCAAAAATGTAGATTTGTATTTTTAAAGACATACAGTATATTTGAAATGTGTTTTTGAAAAATATTTTTCATATATTTTGTAAGCAAAACGCATTTCAACATGCAGTATACATCAGTATAACATCCTCTTTTGTAAGTTTTCAATATAATGTGATATAGTGGCCTTTTAGCATATTCATTTTCCCTCTTTTGGCCTCTCCCTCTAGTACACCTCTATGCTTGGGGGATCCAAAGGTTTGGAGCTTCCATATGGTTGCTGAGTGCTATCTTTAGTCGCATTGAGCATTACCATTTGGTTTGTTCATTGTAATATTATACTTGTGTAACAGAAAAATATTTTATCAATTTTTATGTGTAACATATGGCATATTACTCTATGTTTAATTGTAAATTCACTACTCCTCCCTCTCACCTGGAGAAGTGCTGAATTACGGTATACACGAAATGTGTAGAAAAAGATAGAAATTCCCTCCTTGGACATCATATTACCGATATACAATCTGATTTAATATTAACCACTTGCCTACAGGGCACTTTTACCCCCTTCGTGCCCAGGCCAATTTTCAGCTTTCAGTTGCACTTTGAATGGCAATTGCGCGGTCATGCAACATTGTACCCATATGAAATTTTTATCATTTTTTTTCACACAAATAGATCTTTCTTTTGATGGTATTTAATGACCACTGGGGTTTTATTGTTTGCACTATAAACAAAAAAAGAGCAAACAATTTGAAAAATAAAAAGTTTTTCTTTGTTTCTATTCTAAAATTTAGCAAACAGGTATTTTTTTCTCCTTCACTGATGTGTGTTGATGAGGCTGCACTGATAGGCAGCACTCATGGGCACTGATAGGCTGCACTGATGAGGCGCAACTGGTGGGAATTGATGAGGAGGCACTGACGATGCTGCACTGATATGCAGCAATGATGGGCACTGATAGGCGGCACTGACTGGCAACACTGACTGGTGGCAATTCTGGGCACTGATAGCCATGAATGCTGTGTGGCACTGCTGGGCACTGATGGGTGGCACTGCTGGGCACTGACGGGCACTGGTGGGTGGCAGTGCTGGGCACTGATGGGCAGCACTGATGATCAGGGCACTGATGATCAGTGCCCTGAATATCAGTTCGGATATCCTCTGTGACATTTGCCAGTTATCGGTAGTACTTTCCTCACGCTGTGACAGCATGAGGAAAGTGCTGTTGATAATCGGCAACTGTACTTACTTTGTGATCTGCTGTGTCATTGGACACAGCTGATAATGTGGTAAAAGGCTGCTGTGATTGGTCTTTTACCTAGTCATGTGATCATATGTGTCTGTAGGACATAGTGATCACTGACAGTGTCGTGTGCCGAATGATGCCCTCCCAGAACTGGACAACTGCACTGTAGCCGTTATTTAGCCATAGCAGGGTTGTAAAGTGGTTAAGGAATTTGCCTTAAAGTGGTTATTAAACCTCAGACATGAAATATGAACAAAGCATATCACTGTATAGTGTGTACTTGTCTCTATCCAGAGCACTGAGTATTACTTCTATCTTCTGCCCCGTTCCTCTGCTATTTGCATGAGTAGCTTCTGACAAGTTTTCCTGACACCAAAAGAGAAAAAAGGAGGAAATATTGGCTATGGTCCAGGCAGCAAGCAGATATGTGGTGGGAAACGGCAAAAGCATTGGTCCAGGCAGCAGGCAGGTATGTGGTCAGAAACAGCCAAAGAAATTGTGTAGGCAGCAGGCAGGTGTGTGGTCAGCACAGCTAATGTATTGGTACTGGCAGTAGGCAGGAACATGGTCCATAGTCAGTACAGGTAGCAGGCAAAGGTGTGGTCAGTTCAGGCAGAGGCATGATCAATTAACAGACCAGAGTTAGTCAGCAGCTGGCAGAATTATCAGACTTAAGGCCTCTGTTAGGTAGGTCCTAGGCACAGGGGTAGAGGCTTCATCCCACCCAAACCTCTTCGAAACTTCCAGTCTGCAGACCCTAATCTGAGAATGACATAACCCGGAGAAAACCAAAAACTTAGTTTTCTCCGCTCATAAAAACTTTCCCTGAGATCCTCACATATGTGAGATCCCTGTGCTATCTTGAATCCTACTACTACAGTAGCAGGGCAAAAGATCAGTCCAAGCGGTAGGCAAAAAACGTGGTCAATTAACAGGCCGAGGTCAGTTCAGGTGGAAGGCAGAATCAAGGCTGATGGTTCAGATGGCAAGCAGAAGCATTGTCAATAAACAGGCCAGGGTCAGTTCCGGAGCAGGCAGAAGTATGGTCAGTTTAGGTGGCAGGCAGAGACATGGTGGAATAACAGGCCAAGGTCAGTTCCAAGCAGGCAGAGGTATGGTCAGTTTAGGTGACAGGCGGAAGCGTGGTCAAATAACAGTCCAAGGTCAGGTCAGGAGCAGGCAGTGGCATGATAAGTGTGAAGGCAAATGGTCAAATGGGAAAAGGCAGTAGTTTTCTAATATTTCAGATAAGTATGGTAATGGTGGAAACCTTCCCCTATGCAGAGGTCTGATTGGGAAGGACATTGGGGACAATATTAAATGGTGTCTCGTCTAACTCCCGCTCTGGAACACACCCCACTTTTTTGAACCAATGGTGGGTTCTCCTTGTTGCAAGGTAGGACTGGATCATCTAGTCGTTAAGATCAACTCCCCCCATGAACATATTGTACTCATGTGCGCATTGAGGCTTCTGGACTAGGCCACTCCTTCTGTCGATTTGCACAAAGGTGTCATTGTGAATTGAAGAAAGAAAATATACATCAGGTTTGTACCTCCACTTCATAGCCAATATTTCCTCATTCCACAAACATACCTTCTTCCCTCTTTGCAGTTTTGTATTTACTAGCCTTTGCAGGAAGCCCTTCCTACTAGCTCGTATGGTGCCACAAGCTAGTGTTTTATTCCAGTAGAGGTTATGGAAAAGGGGCAAGCTGGTATAATAGTTATCGACATACAGATGGTAACATTTATTTAAGAAGGGGAATACAAGTTCCCAAATTATTTTGTCACTGGTTCCAATATACAGTCAGGTCCATAAATATTGGGACATCTACACAATTCTAAAATTTTTGGCTCTATACACCACCACAATGGATTTGAAATGAAACGAACAAGATGTTCTTTAACTGCAGACTGTCAGCTTTTATTTGAGGGTATTTACATCCAAATCAGGTGAACGGTGTAGGAATTACAATAGTTTGCATATGTGCCTCCCACTTTTTAAGGGGCCAAAAGTAATGGGACAGAATAATAATCATAAATGAAACTTTCACTTTTTAATACTTGGTTGCAAATCCTTTGCAGTCAATTACAACCTGAAGTCTGGAACGCATAGACATCACCAGACGCTGGGTTTCATCCCTGGTGATGCACTGACAGGCCTCTACTGCAACTGTCTTCAGTTCCTGCTTGTTCTTGGGGCATTTTCCCTTCAGTTTTCTCTTCAGCAAGTGAATTGCATGCTCAATCAGATTCAGGTCAGGTGATTGACTTGGCCATTGCATAACATTCCACTTCTTTCCCTTAAAAAACTCTTTAGTTGCTTTTGCAGTATGCTTTGGGTCATTGTCCATCTGCACTGTGAAGCGGCGTCCAATGAGTTCTGAAGCATTTGGCTAAATATGAGCAGATAATATTGCCCGAAACACTTCAGAATTCATCCTGCTGCTTTTGTCAGCAGTCACATCATCAATAAGTACAAGAGAACCAGTTCCATTGGCAGCCATACATGCCCACGCCATGACACTACCACCACCATGCTTCACTGATGAGGTGGTATGCTTAGGATCATGAGCAGTTCCTTTCCTTCTCCATACTCTTCTCTTCTCATCACTCTGGTACAAGTTGATCTTGGTCTCATCTGTCCATAGGATGTTGTTCCAGAACTGTGAAGGCTTTTTTAGATGTCGTTTGGCAAACTCCAATCTGGCCTTCCTGTTTTTGAGGCTCACGAATGGTTTACATCTTGTGGTGAACCCTCTGTATTCACTCTGGTGAAGTCTTCTCTTGATTGTTGACTTTGACACACATACACCTACCTCCTGGAGAGTGTTCTTGATCTGGCCAACTGTTGTGAAGGGTATTTTCTTCACCTGGGAAAGAATTCTTCAGTCATCCACCACAGTTGTTTTCCGTGGTCTTCCGGGTCTTTTGGTGTTGCTGAGCTCACCGGTGCGTTCCTTCTTTTTAAGAATATTCCAAACAGTTGTTTTGGCCACGCCTAATGTTTTTGCTATCTCTCTGATGGGTTTGTTTTGTTATTCAGCCTAATGATGGCTTGCTTCACTGACAGTGACAGCTCTTTGGATCTCATCTTGAGAGTTGACAGCAACAGATTTCAAATGCAAATAGCACACTTGAAATGAACTCTGGACCTTTTATCTGCTCATCCAGACTTCAGGCTGTAATTGACTGCAAAGGATTTGCAACCAAGCATTAAAAAGTGAAAGTTTGATTTATGATTATTATTCTGTCCCATTACTTTTGGCCCCTTAACAAGTGGGAGGCACATATGCAAACTGTTGTATTTCCTACATGGTTCACCTGATTTGGATGTAAATACCCTCAGATTAAAGCTGACAGTCTGCAGTTAAAGCACATCTTATTCGTTTCTTTTCAAATCCATTGTGGTGGTGTATAGAGCCAAAAATGTTAGAATTGTGTCGATGTCCCAATATTTATGGACCTGACTGTAATCTAGGAATTGAGGGGGATACAACTGGGTGTCCTTTCCTTCATACACACGGAAGGCATACACGTACCCTGTGGCTCTGTCATACAACTTGTACAGTTTCACCCCATATTGGGTCCTTTTGCTGGGGATGAACTGCTTGAAGCTCAGCCTGACAATAAAGTGGACAAGTGATTCATCCACACAGTTGTTTTTGTTGGGGATATATAAGTGGGCAAATATTTCTGAAAAAAAATTAAGAAGGGGCTGAATTTTATACAACTTATCATATGTGGGGTCATTTTGTGGGGGGCACTGGGTGTTATCACTAAAGTGAAGGAACCGCATGATCATCAGATATCTTTGCATAACTGATGAGTAAATGGGCATGTGGTAGATGGGGTGGGTTGACCAATAAGAGTGGACCATATTTAACATGAGGCTCAAAAAGATCTTGAGCTCCTCCACTGTTACTGGTTTCCATTCATATGGATGGGAATAACTGGAATTTGGATTGTTGGCTATAAATTGTTGGGCATAGAGGTTACACTGGTCCACAATTGAATGTAATAATTCATGCGTGAAAACTAAAAAAAAAAATCAATAGGTGCAAAATTTTCTGTGTTGGTCTGGACACCTGGCTGGGTGGTAAAAGGGGGGAATATTAGTTGCTCCTGATTCAGGGGGAAGCCATAGAGGGTTTGCAAGGACATATGGTAGACTGGCATGGGCCCTAACCCTTTGTGGCTGACATGACACCATGGGTGCTGATCAGGCTGCACTAATGGGCACAGATGAATTTGCACTGAAGGGTGTTGATGAGGCTGCACAGATGGGGCAGCACTGGTCAGCAACACTGATGTAATAGTTGGTGATACGGCTGCACAGATGGGTGTTAATGCGCTGCACAAATGGTTGCTGATGCTGCTACACAGATGGGTGCTAATGCCACTTCACAGATGGGTGCTGATGCGGCTGCACAGATAGGTGCAGATGCACTGCACAAATGGTTGCTGATGCTGCTACACAGATGGTTGCTAATGCTGAACAGATGGGTGCTGATGCGGCTACACAGATGGGTGCTAATGCCGCTGCACAGATGGGTGCTGATGCAGCTGCACAAATGGGTGCTGATGCGGCTGCACTGAAGGGTACTGATAAGGCTGCACTGATAGACACTGATAAGGCTACACTGATGGGCACTGATCAGGCTACACAGTTGGGGCTGCACTGATAAGCAGCACTAATGGGAAATGATGCCGAGTCCTGCACTGATATGCACGGATTAGGTATCACTGATGGGTGTGTTGATAAGGCTCCACTGATAAGCAGCACTGATGAGGCAGCAGTGATGGGCACTGTGTGACACTGTAATGCAGACAGTAACTCACTATGAATGGTACAGATGTCTCCTTCCCTCACACTCGTCTCTGTGTGAGGGAAGGAGAACTGTCAATCCCCCGATGACCCGCAGTGTTTACATTAGTGATCATGTGTCATTGGACACGTTGATCACATGGTAAAGAGCCACTGTGATTAGC